TAAAAAGTTATTACGTTGTAACGATGATGAATTATTTCCGTTTTATAATTTATAAATTCAAATATATCTGACTAGATCAAAGTTAAGGTTGGCTGAAGTTAGGAGATCTACATAGGATCTACATAGGCTAGTTCTTCAATTTATCTGAATAAATTTGCAAATATATATTCGACCACCCATGCATTAATTCGCATATTTCAAATATATTCGTATATATCTACATATTATAAAATTTATCTGGATATATTCGTTTTCAAAAATTTCCTGATGATTATTTGTATCTTTTGTTACCTCCTTCCTATTTATTAAGTTTTTTTTTTCCTTTACAAGTTTTAATACCATTATTTTTTTTCCATTCCTTAAACATAACACATCTATGTTTCTATATCTCTTTTTGTATAAATGATTTGAACTATTTAAATATGTCATATATTAATTGATTTAATTCTTCCTCACACTTAATCATTGTCTGTAATAAGGATATTAAAGATTATGGTATCAGTTCCATAATTATATTCAAAAATCAGATCTCATCTTTATTTTTATACGTTTCCTCTATACCTAATTTCATTGTTTCCAAATTATTTAGATTACTCTTCAGAAAGTCATTAATGATGTAGGAACCATTATTTCAAAGTTGTTCTATTAAGATTGTAATAAATCAGTTTTTACACAATTCTAATGTTACTGGATTGTTTTCACATGTAAAAATATGCATCTAATCCTCTACTGAAAGGTTACAGCAAAAACATTTATCTGTTTTGTATATTAATGGATATCTGGTCTTAAGTTTTTGTAAAGTCAGGAGCTCATTATTAAACATTTTCATATTGAATGATCGCATTCTGTTATCCTTATTATTTGTTTGTTATTTCTCTTCATATAATCTTGTAGTCGTGTTCCATGATAATTTCCAATTAATTAATTTCAACTTTGTATTACTCATATTATTAACGTTACGATTTAATAATCTCCATTTACAAGACTGTTTAGTTGCACTATATTTTTTGACAAATTTACGTATAGGTTCTTCTATTATAAGAGAGTTCCAACATGGTGTTGTATTAACCAAAGTAAGACTGTCTATGTTTAGTTCACAAACTATTCACTTCTGTCCCTTCTTTGCCAGTCTATTTGCCTCATCATTTAATTCAATACCTGAGTGTACCTTTATTTTATCATATTTAATTTTAATTTTCTGCATTATTGTCAATTCATGAATTGTTATTAACAATGTTCAGTTATTTAGTTTCTTCCTTGCTTTGTTCACATCTTTTGTTATTATCTGTAAAGTATTAATTGAGGTTTGGTTATCTGTGTATATCGTTAAAGCTGATTCTTTTGGATATGCATAAATTGCAATAAGTATGGCCATCAATTCCACTCTTATCGATGATAAATATTTTATTACCTTTCCACAAAAATTGTATTTTTTTATCTTTTCTTCCAACATTACTCATCCATAACTTATTACAAGTTTTGTTTTCATTTTGTCATTGCTGTTAATTGTTTACTTGATTAATAATCCATCTGTATAGACAATTATATTTTTATATTGATTAAGTGACTTGCGAATGTTATTCAATTTTCCTTTAATTTCAACACTTTTTCAAAAGTTATCATATTGTGACACTTTAAATTATTATTTTTTATCTTTTATCTATTATTATCTTTTATCTATTATTATCTTCTTTATTTGTATTATTTATAATTATAGTTAATTTTGTAAATCAGTAGTATGAATTAAGAAGTACTACATTTAAGAATTATCATTGTTAATTTATTCAGGTATATACCTAAGTACAATACCTAGGGAAATACCTAGGTAGGATACCTGGGAATAAATAATGAAATTACCTTGATAATATTATTTGTATCACTTGGCAAAGAACCAATCTAGAATAGAGAATAGTATAGTTTGTCTGCAGCACAAAGAGTGTCAAAAGGATATAAATACAGGTCTCTCTAGCTTTGGTTTTTTACCAGTCAGTTCCAGATCGAGTTTAATAGTTTAAGTTCAAGTTTCTTAGTTATTTAGTTTATAATCCTCTGATTTATTCTTTTAATAAATATTATTTCTTTTATCATTCTTATATATTTATCTTTTATTATTTATCATCATATATTTTATCTATTTTTTATATTTCTTATATTTATTTTAATAAAGTTGATATTAAAATAAAGTCTTTATATAATTTATCGATATTGAATCTTTTACACATGTACATTGCTAAGTCACAAATTAACTTGGTGTTATAAAAATCCCATTACAATAAAGAATTCACTCCTAAGTTGACCCTCTTCTCTAACTTTGTAATTTGCTATAATTGATCAAGTAGGATCATCAGAAATAGCATGATAATTACATAACCTTTTGTTAGTTTTTGTTAGAAAAGATTCTCTATCTTTCAGAACATTGTTGCACTGGACACATGACAATATTTTTCAGATATAGTATCTTGCACTGGTTATTTGACAGGTTATTAATTATGATGTTAAGAATCTCATTTCTCCTTTGATGGTCCTTTAGCTACAAGTTATATAATATTTTGTTTAATTCATCTTCTATTGCTTCTTTCCTGATCGTAATCTTAGTTTAAAGGTTTGATCTGGTATTGCCCTTAATGATATTTTACTGTTAACAACATTAATTTCTACTGTATGCACAATGCCCGTTTTAAACAGGTATATGTTTTTATTGATTAAGTATTTTGTCAGATCTTTATTCCCCTGTATGCACCTATCGCATTGTCTCAGTACTGATTTCTCAATATTGGCTATGTCTCTTTCTCTTGTATAGTGTTCAACAATAAATTCACGTTTATTTATATTTTTACATTTTTTCTCCAATATCAGTTTCAAGTTTATATCATTTGCAGCTGCAATCCAACTGATGTTTTTTAAAAATCAAATTAATCTTACTTTTTTTTCTATTTATATTTAATAATAATTCACCTGATAGTTCAGGCTCACTATCTGAAAGTGTCTCATATAAATTTTTATAAATTTTTTGTTTTTTATTCATAATAAAATTTGCAAACAAAAAATTAAAATTAATAGATTATTATTTTATTAATTAATTAATCAATCAAATTACTAAAATAATTTGAAGCAACTTGATGTAATCTGAAGTAACCTGAAGCAAATTATATAATAACTCAGGTTATAATAAAATATTTTACTCCGGGTTAATACAAAAAACTAGAAATCTTAACTCACTCCATGATGGAGTAATACATAAACCAGGTTGATACTAGAACATTATATTCCATTTAACAACCCTAATCAAGATAGTTGTAACTTGTACATCTTGAGGGCAAACCTATTAGTTTTCTTTTGGAGTTTGTTTGCTTAATAACTTCTACTCTTTGGGTGGTTGCAGTTGCGACTGTTTTCATATTTTTCCTATATCAACTGACTGTGTTCAAGACTTATGGATTTGCATACTCCAGAAGATGTATCTTTGAATCAATCAAAATTAATGTGACAATATAGGAAATAAATTCATTTCTTGTGAAAGTTCTGAACTTTTGATTGTGATAGTGTATTTTAATGAATCAATTTTTGGGTTTGTAAATTAATTACTATTCTTTTGTACATATTTCTGAGAAATTTATTAGTATTAAAAATACAGGAAATGTAAACTTCTGATAGGTTTTTCTTTTAGGTTTGAAAAAGATAAATTAGTTTACTTTTAAATAACTGATAGTTTGTTCATTCTAAAATTGTATGTTTCGTACAAATATAACTATTCAGAATACTGATAACAAGTAAAATTATATTATAATTAATATTGAGATAATATGTTAATATTAGATAGTTTAGACAATAGTGTAAGCAAAAGTATATAAATAATAGATAGATTTGATTATTTTTGACTTTTATTACAATCAATAAAGCAAAACATGCTAATGTGTGATTACCTTTTAAATATATTCTATTTTGTAATAAAACAATATTGAACGATCAACTAACAATTAATATTTTGAGAGAATTAAACTCTAGGCTTGCATCCGAGATTATTGAACTTAGAAAAGAGAATGCTGAGATTTCTGAACTTAGAAAAAAATTTTCTAAAGTTGAAGCTAAGAACATCAAACTTAAAGCTAAGAATGTAAAATTAAAATAAGCTTTGAAAGAATATGAATTCAGATTTGTGAAACTGGAGTAGAATGATAAAGATACTACTATTGAAAATACTGAACTTAAAGTTAGAGTTGTGAAATTAGAACAGAAGCAATCACAAACTGATGAAAAGAATAACTTTATTGTTAAATTAGATGATGATACTAAGGGAATCAATGAATCTTCAGTTAATACCATCTAATAATAATAATAAATAATAATACAATTTAGCTTGTTTATAATTGCAAACTATTAATCACATTTATATATAATTATTATATTATAAGAAAACTATGCTTTTTGATGATATAGTTCGGATATGTGATCGATGTATAGTATATGTGTAGTACTCTGCATAATATATATGTGTGTCAGAGAACTAGCTCCACTATAAGAAAAATGGCAGAACACTACACTTTTCAATATATGTGATCAGATATGTTTTCAGGATAGGTAACATATACTCACCTTCTCACATATATAGTTGAAGCTAATTCACTTTTTTGCAACTTACAACATACTCGATGACAATTATGTATTATAGATCACATATATATTCGATAACATGTATATAGCATAATCGGATATAGCATTTGCGCAATTAATTTTTTCATTAAATAATCTGTGCCATATATAAATGACAACAATGCAAGATCACAAGAGTGTGCTAACTCAAACTGTTGATAAAATTATAACACAAAAGATTGAGGAAACAGACTGCAATATTAAGCCTATCAATAAACTCTTAATACAGGAGATTAGAACGGGTTTCAAAGCTTATATAGAAAAGCTAGATGAACAATACGATTCTGAGTCAGATTTCAATTTTATATATATTCCCAAACCCACAGTTAAAAATCCTGTTGCTACTAATAATGTATAAATCGCAAGATATACTATTACTTTTTTTTGCTCATGTGAGCCAGCGACGGAAATCGACCACAACTAGATTACTAAACTGGCATACATTATGTTGCATATGGGTGATGACAAAAATTTACTACGATTGTCATATTTTTTATAGATCATAGGATATCCAAGTGTGACGATGTGAATACAAATTCGTCGTCATATTGTTTATAGATCATGGGTACCTAATTGTGATGACAAACTCGTGAACTAATTGTCACTCAAATGACGATGTACATGTGATCTTATCGTCACATCTGAGTGGGAATAACCTAGACTAAGTGGAAATAACATAATTATGTTATTTCCACTCATATATATAGCCTTATATAGCTTTATGAATCTAATTTTTTAAATATTATTAAATTGATTAAAAAACTTATAAATTATTATGCATTTGTATAAAAATAATTTATAACTTGTATGATTTTTATCTGTAAAAAGAGTGTCAAAATTTTCAATTATACTTGTTTCACATTCTATAATTTTCATTTTATTCTGTTATTGGTGTTGTGTAATCCCTTGTAGATTTAATTTCATAAAAGTATTAATATTATAAAATAATTATAATTAATAAAAAGAAAATAAATCTATTAATTTTAATATAATATAATATATATATATAAATATCATATAGAAAATTGTCCATTTGATTTTTCAATCATTGTAAGATTAGATAATAATGATGATGAAATTAAACCATTCCCTTCTTCCTCAATTTTAATATTAATAATATCATCATCATTCATATTCATATTATTATTGTTATTATTATTCATATTAATATTCTCATTATTATTATTATTAATATTATTAATATTCTCATTTTTTATATTAAAATTTGTATTCTCATTATTATTTGTATTATTATCCATCAAATTTCTCCAATTAAACCAATGATAATATTGTTTATGAGAAATTTGTCTAGTATTTTCGAAATTCTTTAAATTTTCTCTAAAACTTGGATTTTGTAATAAATCTAAAAAATAAAGAGCATGCGGATAACTTTATAAAAATTGTAGATATTATAGAGATTGTATATATATAATTTTGTATTTGTTTGTATTCGTTGTGAGTGATTAAATAAAAATGAATGAATGAATGAATGAAATAAGATATTATTTATTTATTAATATTTTTACTCACACTATAAATTTTGAATATTCAGGACGTTGCCAATAATTTAAATATTTTATATAATTCATGAACGTTGGATCTTCAAAGTAACCATTTTGAGCAAGATCTAAATCGTATATGGAGACATTTTAATAATAATATTATTGTTATTGATTTTTTATAATATAAATTTTTTTAAATAATACAAAAATAATATACGCAACTATTAAGATACCAAGGATTTGCTAAACAAGAAACAAATTCTAATTCTAATTGGAAACGATTTTTTTCAGGACTTTCGTGTTGTAGTTTTGAAGAATCGCCTTGTTCAGACATTTTATTATTTTTCTATGAATGCGGATAGGGAAAGTCTAGATTTTGATCGACATGTTACACAACTATTTATATTCGAATTATGATCGTTCCTATGACAAGTCACCAGATTGACTAAATGAATATATTTTTAACTAATTCGATTCACCAAGAAGTTTTATTTTTATAATAATAGACTATATAGACTATATAAAAACTATTACCGTTGCAAGTAAGGTTTAATTATTCTCAAAGTTTTTATTAAATCATTTTATTCCATATAAAATATTTAATAAGTTTAATTTATGAAGTTATAGAAGTAAAATACATCAAAAAAGTTACCGCATATATTTTATATAATAAAACGAAGAAATTTTATTAATATTAGATATTTTTCACATCTGCATAGAATTATATTAATTTGTAAATACAAGAATTAAATATTCAGTTTCAATTATTTTAATTTAATAATTTACAATCAAAGGGAAAAATAAAACATCATAATCTATGCAAATTTATAATCTTATTTAAAATTCATAAGGTATTATTATATTATAACTTAAATAATAATGATTTTTGTATTTTTAATTCAAATTATTAATAGTTTTTAAGATATTATATATAAAGTTATTAAAGTGAAAATTGATCATGTGATAATATATTGTATTGACCAATCATATATTATCGATCGACAACTAATAAAAACAAACTTTCCCTTATGTTGGATAGGGGAAATGACATTTATATACTGTATAATTGACAAATATCTTGTAATCTCGTGATCAAGAGATACTATTTTTATACATTAGGTAAGGTACTATATATGTATATATTATTAATAGATATAATTTTTAAAAATCGATTATATAATATTCGAGCAAATTTAATAGAATTTTTAGTATTATGCTTTTAATCTTCGTTTAGTTTGCTCAGCAATTAATTCCATTGATTCTAATTTTAAAATTTCTTTAACAGAAAAATTAAGTGAAGCTTCATATGCATATGAAATAGTTGTATCAGTAATGCTCATATAATTTTTACTCAAAGCATTAATACAATTACAAACACGTGCAATAGCTTCTCTAGCATTTTTCCCAATTGGCTTAAATGAATAATAAATGAATAAATTAATAAAGTATTGATAAATGAATAAAGTATCGATAATAAATAAATGAATAAAGTATTTAATAAATGAATAAATAAATAAATTAATTAATTAATATATGAATAAAGTATTAATAAATGAATAAATAAATAAATTAATAAATGAATAATATTAATAAATAAACAAATAAATAAATGAATGAATGAATTACCTCATTTTCATTTGAATATATATATTCCGAATCATCTTCACTCATTTCATTTAATACCCTTGAAGATGGTTTACTCACCCATACATAACCATTTAATCCTAAAGTAACATCAACTCCACATTTCAATTCATGAAAATGTGATTTGGTACGTTGAACTAAAGTTGGCGGAACAATAAGAAATGATCCATTACGTAACTGATAATATTATTACATGAAGAATATAAATTATTATTACATATAAAGAATATTTATATATTATTAACTTATTATTATTATTGTAAATTATTTAATATTATTTAATATTATTTAATATTATTAATATTATTAATATTTTAAATTATACCTTTCCATACTTTAAACTTCTTGTGTGTAGAGATGAAGAACCATCTTGAAATGATCCTTGAACCTCTGCCTACTTTATATAATAGATATTTATTTATTTATTTATTTATTTATCAGAAGAAATAATTCAATAAATAACAAAAAATCATTAAAAAAAGAAATAGAAATAAAAATAAATAATTAATTCAATTTAAATACATTACCACTAACAAATCTCCTTCAGAATAAAATTTTCTCATTTGAAGTTCATCTGCTTCAGTTTTACGTCTCTATTATTATTATTATTATTGTTGTTGTTGTTGTTGTTGTTGTTGTTATGATTGTAATTATTATTATTATTATTATTATTATTATTATTATTGTAATTATTGTTGTTGTTATGATTGTAATTATAATTAATATTTTTAATTAATTATTTACTTGAACTCCTGGAAGATGAATAGCAGATAACAATAATACAGCATCTTGACGTGAATTGATGTCAACTTTCCATCTTTTATTTGAAACCTACAAATTTAAAATTATATATATATATATATATATATATATATATATTCTATTCATTAAATTATATATACATTCATTAAAATATTTACATTAATTATTATGTATTAATATTATATTCAAATTATCATACTTCTGTTATTCGACCAATTACTAAATCACCAATATTTCCCGTATATCTAAATCAATAAATCAAAGAAATTTCTATTACATATTCATTATTATTTATTATTAATTTTAATCATTCTAATTTATTATTATTATATTTATTATATTAATTATTATTATATTATTATATTATTTATCATTTAATTGTAATAATAATAACAATAATAGTAATATAATATAATAATAATAATAATAATAATAATAATTAATACCTTGTGTTTAAAGGTCTTACAGTAATCAATTTATTAACACGTTCCACAACTCCAGCTACTGAAGCTAAATGGGCTTCATTTTCATCAAGATATGTACCATGACCTCTTTTATATAATTTATATAAATGATATTAAATAAATATTAAATGATGATATTAAATAATATTAAATGATATATTAAATAAATATTAAATAAATATTAAATAAATAAGTGATATTAAATATATATAAATATATTTTAAAGAATACCTCATATATTGAGTATCTTTAGAAATTACTTCTCCAGGTGTTACAACTTTTGTTTCAAATTTTTGTCTTTGTGATTTTAAAAGCATATCAATATCCCCATCTGCATCCTTCACTTCTTCAATAAAAGATGGTTTGGGAAAGAGAAATTGAACATTCATGATATTATATTTTATATTATAAAATTTATCTGTATAAAAAAAAATATTATCAAATATTATCAGTTTTTAAAAAAAAAATTTTTTTTATAGTTATTTGAACAACACGTGAATCTAATTATTATTACATTATGTTCCACTATTAACAATCTAGATATTATCAATTCTCATCAATGTACTCTTCTGTTTTTTCACGTTCAGCTTTACTCACTCGCACTACCGCAAAGAGGCCACTTCTTCGTAGTGGTGATACTTATCACTGGGAAAATGTTGATGGTTCGGTAAGTGAAAGACAACATTATTAATTAATTATAATTAATAAAAATAATTAATAAAAATAATTAATAAAAATAATTAATAAAATAATTAATAAAATAATTAATAAAAAATAATTAATAAAATAATAAATAAAAATAATAATTAAATAAAAATAATGAAATAACAATTAATTAAATAATAATAATTAATAAAATAATTAATTAATAAATTTATGATTATTATGAATGAAATGAAGCATATTCCCTTCAGTACAAAAAGTAAAGTGGGTGTGGCTGTAAAAATGACTTTGTTTTGTGGTTTGGGATTTTCTATTCCTTTCGTTGGTAAGCAAAATATATTTCACACATATAAATATATATTTAACGAAATTATAATATAATTATTTACAATTAATTATTTTTTTCAAATTAATTTTTTTTTTTTTTAGCTATGTGGTGGCAATTGTACGTATTTTACATTTAATATATTTTATCTTTTTCTTTTGTAATTTATTTTATTATTATAATAATATTTCATTATAATTAACCGAATAATAATATAATATTGTAATTCTTTCAGCCATAAAGCTGGGAAACCATTCTATAGACCAGGTTCACCACCCGGATAAATTAATTTTATAAAAAAACCCTCAAATTAAATTAAATAAATTAAATAATAAATATAAATAAGTAAATAAATACAATAATTTGATCCTTATAAATTATAAATAATAATAATAATAATAAAATTACATGATATGAATTCAATATCGATAAATAATTATATTAATAAATAATAGATAATATTTTATTATTATTATTATTATTATTATTATTATTGATACAATATAAGAAAATAATTTATATTTATATAATAAGTAATTCCCATTTTTTTATCAAAATGGAAAAGAATTTTCTAAAATTTTAAAATATACAAATTTTGATTACTATCCAAATATTTTTTGATATTGTATTATTTGAAATTATAATATATTTTCAATCATCATCGTCATCACCATATTCTGCACTGACCAATGAAATAGGAATAGTATTTTTATTTTCTAATTTTTCCGATTCTTTAGTTTCTTTAAAATCTTTTCTCTTAACAATCAAAATATCATTTTTAATAATATCTCCTTTATCACCACCACCACTACTACTATTATTGCTACTACTACTACTATTATTATTATTATCATCATCATTATTATTATTATTATCATTTAAATCATTACCATTATTATTATTATTATTATTATTCCAATCATTATCTTTAAGAAATGGATCTGTTTTAAGTTTTGTATTAACGGAAATTGTTGAAGATAATTGAGCAATTACTCTCTTGTTACTACTACTACTATTATTATTATTATTATTATTATTCTTATTCTTATTTTTATTCTTATTCTTAATTAAGGATGATGATAATGATTTTGATGATGATTTTGTCGTTAATTTTTTAGATTTATGATGATGATGATGATGATGATGATTTGGTTTTTTAAATATTGAAGAAGTATTTATTTCAAGTTTTCGTTTTTGGGCTTGGATTAGAAGATGATCTAATATACAATCGTGAATTAATATTGATGATATTTAAAAATATTAAAATATTTATTTATTTATTTATTCATTCATTCATTCATTCATTTTATTAAAAAAAAATTACCTGAAAATTCAGTAGTTTTAGCTTCAACAATATCATCTGAGGATTCTGGTAATAATGAAATTGATAATGAATTTCGATCACGTATTTCGTCATCAGCACGTTTTATGGATTCCAAGTTTTTTTTCTCTTCCTAAATTAAACAACAATAATAATAATTAATAATTATTATAATAATTGTCCGAAGATTAGGCATAAGTTTTAAGACATAAAGTGATGAAATGATTCAAGTTATTCTTGTTACGCCCGCGTGTCGCGTATTAATTATCATCACAATAAAACGGTAATAATAATAATGGTTATAATAATTAAAAGTAATAATTAAATAATAATAATTACTCTGAATTTCTTGCGCATTCTTTGAGAATGTGTATATGGATCTGCCCATTGTTTATCATTTAATATCTAAAGAAGTTATATTAATTATTATTTATATCACATATTAGATTATTATGATTATTATATCACATTAGGTTATTATATATTATAATATATTGTATTATAATTACTTGAAGTCGAGTCAAAATAGGTAAAGCTTGTTTTGATTTCTCTTCATCTTTAACAGTTTGTTCAAGTTTATAAAATGCGTTGTCAACCAATTTCTTTGCTTCTTCCTCATCTAAAATTCAAATCAATCAATCAAATAATCAATTCAATAAATAAATCAATCAATCAAATCAATTAATTTTATACCTTTTAATTGAATAGTTTCAGTATCTTCAGGTTCCCAAGTCTCAACTTTTTTACGTGCCCCATTAACCACTATATACTCCGAACTCTATAATAAATAATAAATAAATAAATAAATAAATACAAATTAAATCTAAATAAATGAATAAATATGCACATAAATAGTAAATACCTTTGGATCAGTATGAATTTCAATCCAATTATCACATAAATGACATTTCATTCGAAAACTAAATATCGGTGTACTAAAATATTTTCCTATTTTTTTCTTTTCGGCATTGTAACGAACACCTAAAAAATTATATATATATATATATATGTTATGTGTATTTGATATATATTATAAATGTATTTGATATATTTAATTATATCCATTAATAATTACCTCTACCAACGTGATTTCCGCAACCTTCACACCAAATATTGAAAGGCAGTTCAAATCTTATTTAGAATATTTTATTTTATTTTTTTTTTTTATTTGATTCAAATGATACAAAAAAATGATATAAATATATATATATATAATTATTATCGTTATTTTACTATCTATAATATCTTTTGGATAATCTATATAAACTATATAAACTATATAAAATCTTTATATATCTTATATATATATAAAGAGAGATATATATATTAAACAAACCTGACAATTAAAACTCCTTGATCTATTTTACGAGCTCGATCTCCAAGTGGATGTTTTCCAACATATTTATTAACTGAGCCCTTTGAAATGAAGAAATAATTTAATTGAATTATTATAATTATATCAATTTTTTTTTTTAAAAAAAAAATTTGATTTAATTCTTGCCTTGTCTGGAGTCCAATCGGGTGGATAATATTTATTAAATGGTTGCATTGTAAAAAGTTATAGTCGTCGTCGTCAAAAGTAAAAAAAAAAGAAAAGGTGAATAAAGATAAAGGTAAATCTTTCAATCGTTCAGCTCGTGATTGAGAAGTTAAAAAAACCCAATGGTGTTACATGCATAGATTTTATATCAATAGATTTATTTAGATAGGGTATATAGATTTATATCGATTTATATATATAGATGATAACATTCTCCACTGCACACCAAAATCCTATTCTCTTTATATATAATTAAATATAACTGATAATTTCTGATAATATTTGACAATGACTAAAGGTATAAAAATGTGAACGTTTAGATCGCGATCTGACGATGATGACAAAATATAATATGAATTAATGAATATTTGATACATACATACACATATATATGTATTTATGTATCATTATTATTTTTATATCAAGTTCCCCGTAACTTTCGATTATTAGAAGAACTTGAGAAAGGAGAAAAAGGTATTGGTGATGGAACATGCAGTTATGGACTTTCTAACGGAGATGACATATATATGAGTTATTGGAATGGTACAATTATAGGACCTGGTCATGTAAGTACATATAAATATATATTTGATTATTATTATTGTTGTTGTTGTTGTTATTATTATTGTTGTATTTTCCTTGGGAGGTTATTTTTCAATTTAAACGATTGGATTGATTTCATTTTATTATTATTATTTATTTAAAGTAGAATAATAATTATAATATAATTATTATAATATAATTATAATATAAATGATGTTATAAGAATATTGGTGATAATATTGATAATACATTTAATACATTATAATAATGATTATAATATATAATAATATTTGATAATAATATTGAATATTGGTTGATCTTAATAATTCTTAATTAATATTTTCAAATTTAATTATTTTTCTTTCAAAAAACAAAACAAAAAAAAATCTAAAGACCATTCATGAAAATCGTATTTACAGTTTAAAACTTCATTGTGATGAAAATTATCCAGACAGTCCACCCACTGTCCATTTTATTTCCAGAATTAATTTACCATGTGTTAATCAACAAACTGGAAAGGTATTTATTTATTATTTCATAAATTTATATATACTTAATTTATTAATAATGTTTAATAATAATTATAATATTATTATCATAATAATTATAATATTTAATAATAATAATAATTATTATTATAATAATATTAACATATTCACTCATTTACAGGTTGAACCTTCTAAATTAAATTGTCTTGCTAGTTGGAAAAGAAATTATACTCTAGAGACGGTTTTAACAGAACTAAGACGGTAAATTTATTATTATTATTATTATTATTTTTTGAATAATTCATAATAACAATAAATAATAATAAAAAATAATAATAAAGATAAATAATAATAATAATAATAATAATAATAATAATAATAATAATAATAATTCATAATTTATTTAATGGTAACAGTGAAATGGCTAATCCACATAACAAGAAATTGCCTCAACCTCCAGAAGGCTCAACTTTCTAAACAAAAATTTAGATAAAAAAAAAAAGGTTTTTATAAATTACATATTATACAAATTATACAAATTATTATTATTATTTTTATTTTTATAATTTTTTTATTGAAAATTAAAAAAAATTAATCAGCTAAATATTAACATTTGATGCTTATTAATTAAAAAAAAAAAAGAATGAAACAATCAAAAAAAAAAAACCTTTTAAGACGATGAAAATACTGATTAATTATATTGATTGATATACAAATAATAATAATAATGATGATAATAATAATTATAATAATAATAATAATAATAATAATAATAATTGGTTAACAGACAAATTTCATGTTTTCTTTCTTTCTTTATTTTTACGAAAAGCTACCACTAGACAAAATATTAGACAAATATTAGACAAATATTAGTCAAAATATATTAGTCAAATGTACTAGTCAGATACTAACAAAAATAATTACAGTATTAAATTATGATGATGATCATTGGGTCTTCTTGTTTAAATTATATATGCATCTTTTCAAATTACTTCTTTTCATTGGAAGTTTTTTATTAGTAAATATTTGAATATATATTTTATATATATATGTGTATATATAATCTATACATAGATTAAAATATATTCTAAAATATACGAATTAAAAAAATATTTAAATTAAAATTTATATTAATTAAATAAATATTATGGTTCAAGACGCTTCGGATCACGAGGAAATAATGAACTTCTACGTATATCATCAAGATTTAAATAAAACATGACAACACGTTCTAATCCAATACCCCCTCCGGCATGAGGTGGTGCTCCTCTCTTAAATGAATCAATGTAAGGTTGAATAGTACGTATTTCGACATCGTGTACTTTCGCACGTTCTTCTAAGAATTCTGGGTCATGAATACGTTGTGCACCTGAAAGAATTTCTTGTCCACGCATGAAAAAGTCATACGAATTGGAATATTGCTATATATATTAAATATTATCAAAGTATTAATATTATTATTCTTCTTAGATAATATTATTAAATATAATATTAAAAAATTATAATTACCTTATCGTTGGGATCTGGCATTGTGTAAAAAGGACGAACTGCTAAAGGAAATTTATCAAGTATATAAAAATCTGTATTATATTTTTCTTTAATTAATTTTCCAAGAAATTTTTCATTCTCGGTACTATACATAATAATAATGATGATAATGATGATGAATATGATAAAGAAGAATAATGATGATAATGATGATGAATATGATAAAGAAGAATAAGATGATGATAATAATAATAAAAATATGTTAAAAATCATAACTCTTAAAATCACACACATATATATATAAGAAGAAAGAAGAAATACCTAAGATCATCAAAATCTCCAATTTCCTTGCCATTCTCTCTTAATAATTTAATAGCATCTTTATATTCCAATTTTAAAGTTTTTTCGGAATGAAATTCAAAATCCGCCGAAGGATATTGTCGTTTTACCGTTTCTATTTCTGAAGCATATCGTGATTTTAATCCAGTAAAAATGAATCTAAATAATTCATCAAGAACATCGAGAACCTCATGATAATGTTCTTCAAATGCCATCTCCAAATCTAATCCCACAAATTCTGTCATATGTCGATGTGTATTTGAATCTTCGGCTCGAAATACTAATTTAAAAATGATGATGATTATTATTATTAAATTTATTTCATTTAATATCTCGCGCGTAAATATCTCATTTAATATCTCGTGTAATATTTTATTATTTCTCGTAAATACAAACCTGGTGCAATCTCAAATACCCGTTCAAAATCGGCACATATACACATTTGTTTGTATAATTGTGGAGATTGTGCTAAAAATGCTTCCCCTTTTTTTTTTTTTTAAAAAAAAAAAAAAATCAATTCTTAGTATATAGCTTTTTAATATACCTTTTTAATAATGCTGGATAAACAAAAATAAATAAACACACACCTTTAAAATATTTAACGCTAAATACATTTGCACCACCTTCGCTGGCAGCTCCAATTATTTTCGGTGTATGTATTTCAATGAATGATTTCGATAATAGAAATTCACGAAACAATTGACTAATTCCAGATTGAATCCTAAAGATTCCATGATTTGCAATAGTCTAAAAAAAATTAATAAAAATTCGTTAGTTAATATATATATATATATTTTTCATAATAAAAATAGAATAAAGTTTTTACTAACACGAAGATCAATAACACGATTATTCAATCGAGTTTCTAATGCTATTCGACTAAATTGTGCATCATCCTAAAAAAAAAAATTCAAAATTTAAAATTAAATCTTTGTGTGACGATACAACTAGATAGATAGATAGATTATCAATAATATTATAATATTATTATTACTTTATTAAATTCTTCTTCATTTTTCGAAGCTTCTTCGGGAGAAAATGGAAGTCTACCTTTAACTTCGCTCAACACATAAAGCTAAATATAAATATAAATATAATATAATATATATATATATATTAAATTAAATAAAAATAAAAAAAAAATAAAATTAAAGTTAAATTAAATGAATTACCTTTTTAATTTGTATTTCAGCATCAGATACTGTAGTACTCTTAATTTCTTCTTTAGTTTTACATACAACACCTTCCACCAGAACAATTGATTCGGTGGGAACACTATAATTATTATGTTTTTCAAATTACAACATTTAAGATATTTAAATTAAATTAAATTAAAATTAATTTTCCGAAAGAAAAAAAGATGATGCATACTTTGTAGCAAATTTTATGAAGTTTTTGCTAATGTTTGTTTGATCAACTGTGAGCACACCTTGAATAGTTCTATCTTGTTGTCTAAATACAAAGAATGCAAGTTTTGCACCTATTATAAAATACATTATTATAAAACACTAATTTTATAAAATATGTGAATTTACGATAATCAGAATTTATTCAAATATCCATTACTAACTTTTCGCACGAGAAGTCTGCACACGAGCTCGAATAGTAACAATTTCATCAGCCAGATTAGCATTAATACTCGATATGGGAGTTCTCACAACACCTTTTATTCAAATAAAATAAAAACATCAATATAATATCATATATATTAAAACATATAATAAGAACGAAATATTGGGTACCTTTTCTCTCTTGTGATTGATTTAAAGGTAATTTTCCATAATTTTCAGTGCCATAATTCTATTCCCCCCCCCAAAAAAAATTAATAATATGATACGATACGATACGATATAACCTAAATATAATTATAATTAGAATATTTACTTCGGCAGCCTGACGAGCAGCTCTTTCGGAAGCTTCTCTTTCTTCACGTTCTTTCTTTTTTCGTTCTTTTTCAAGTTCCTTTTCTTTTTTTTTAAGTGCCTTTTCCGAGATCTTGGGATTATTGACTTCACTTACTTCGCTCATTATTAGGAATTCTTAAATTATTTATAGTGATATTTTTAACCTTGAAATCAATTTTTTCATGTGGCTTGTAAATCTTGCACATCTCCAGATCAAGATTACATCCACCAATAATATATTTTTATTTGTTCGGATTTTTATTATTATTCTTATTATTATTACCATCAATTATTTAATAGCTTTCATAGAATGATAAGTATGATAAACTAATCCCAATAAATTACAAATAAGAGATATGGATGTTTTATACATATGCCTTACGGTTAGAAATGAAATTAATATTAATATAAAAATTACATAAGTAGGAGGAATTCCAAGTTCTACAATTTTTGAACAACGGGATTCTATTGTTGTCTAATAAGCTGGGTCATCGGATAAAGATTAAGAGGACTACTTGTCTCAATGTATAACAAAAATTTGTTCCAGAAAAGCAGTCGTTGGAAGTTTTCGAAGATCCAGTTTCTGATCCATTATATTTTTACCAGATTTAATCTAATCTCTAAAATTAACGAACTAGAGAAATACGAAAAATATAAAGAAGAGAAATAAGAGAAATATTGGTAAGAAGTTCTCGATTTGTTTATTAGAAAAAAAATGGTGAAAAATGATATGCATATTTGACACAATGTATAGTAGAGTAGATAGTCGCGTTCATTCATTTAACATTTTTATAAATATAATAAAAAAACGCGAAAAATGTCTTTACAAAGCGAAAACGATGGTATTATTCAATGACATTTATATTTGCTGTTGCTCTTAGAGGTTATTAATTATTAATGAAATAATTGATTATTTAAAATATTTGAATTATTTTTTTAAATTATTGAAAATATAAAAAAAAATATATGTATAGAGGATTTTGGATTTAAACATTTACTTTGGATATATTGTGGTCGATGTGGAGATCATTGTTGGATTTGTGTTCGTAAATCGAATAATGATGAAAGGAAAGCAATTGTAGTGTATCTGGAAGTTATAAAGGTAAGGCATCATGAATTTCGTGATGAATTTTCAGATTATAGACGATCTTTGAAAATTATTGAGAACAGACAATTTTGGAAGATCAAGATGTGATTAATGAACAAAAATACGATTAACTAAATTAAAAACTGATTGACCTTCATCTGGAATTTATTTATTTAGGTTTAATTTTTAGGTTTAAGGAAAGAATTAAATAAGAAATGGTTACAGTTACCATAAAAAACCTTCTATCGATAAATGGAATGATTTGGAATATGAAATTTCAAAAATTGTAGTAATAAAATTAGCATAGAAACATAATTTTAATATAAATAAACTTGTTAATGAAGCAACAAAGTGTAATAAAACTATAAAATGAACTGGTGACATGAATATTCTTATTTAACAATGGTGAAAATGTTATTCTAAATATGAAAAAAATATATAAAAAATGGTAGCACAAGAGATCTATTCACCTCAACGCTATGTACGGCCACCCTCGCGAGCTATGAGATACCACGCTTTCAAAAAGCAATAATTTATAATATCATTCGCTTATCCTGAGTCATTGTGAATCATATCATAATTTTCTTTTCTAGAGGCAGCGTGACTTAGATCGCATACATGCCAAGCAAACTATGGAAAACCACCACTTACACTCTTTTCTTTTCGAGAGACAGCGTAACTTCGATTGCATATATGCCAAGCAAGCTACACTAGTCAAATACAAAAGAATTGATGTACCGAATGGTAATTCCTATATTATAGAACAGCTAAAATCGGAATTCCTATATCATAGACCAGCTAAAATCAACCGTCCTAATTTATCCTATATTATAAATCATCTAAAATCGAAATTCCTATTTGCACCACCTATTCTTTTGTGTTTGACCTGTGTATGGAAAACCACCACATACATTCTCGATGTTCGTCATCCTTATCGTCGTTCGTTAGGTCCAAACAGGAGTAGACATTTTATCTGTGGATAAAACAAAAATACCAGTTTATTTTTTATGTTTAAAAATTTAAAACGTAACATGTTTATTTAACTTGTTTTTTCTAAACGATCGACATAATGTGACGTCACAGATTATTAAAATATCAAATAATAAAACTAGGAAATGGTAAATCATTCTAATAACCATTGTCAAAAGATCGGACAGACATCCTTTTCAAAAGTTCCGTTTTGATATTTTTGAACTTTGGTGCATCAAAACGGAACTTTTGTATCACTTTACTTGTCCCTTATAATGTCCTTCGCTACGCTCCGAACAATAATAACTAGGAAATGGAGTCTGGAGCCAATATTTTTAAAAAAAAAATTACATTTTAAATATAAAAATATCAAAAACGTATTTTTATTGTCATGTGTTCTTTATCTACAACAATCGTTATCTAAAAAATTGGACAGTTTGATATTTTTATACTTAATATCAAAAAAACGTAATTTTCGCTTTATCCTACGCGCCCATTAAAATGTCTCCAATCATTTTTTAAATAAAAGAATCACGTGTATTTGGTTAGACAAACCTGCCAATATTTAATATACCTCCACGCGGAAAAGATATTTCAAAATTTTAATTCCTAATTCTTTTGTTTACATTGTAATTTTGTTATCGATATTTCATGATTCTAATATTGTAATCATAGCACATATATTTTTTTCAGGTTGGTAATAAAGAATTTAAAGCAATGCTGGTAATAAAGAAATTTAGTTAATTATAGAAAGCATATATATAAAATCTATTTCAGAGATAACTTGGTTTTTTCGATACGATATCTAAAAATGATGCGACTTGACATTATACATATTATTGTTGTTTATTCTTATAATTAAAAATAAAGGAATACGAAAAGGTATCTGCGGGACATTGGACATATTAAAATTTCCATTTAGACGCCCGCCTGACAACCAACCGATTGAACAGAACGCGGAACAAGGAAAATATTCTTAACGCGTTTAAATATGAAAATGAATTATATAAATTATATAATATAATATATATAATATAAACATTATCACATCACATTAACAAAAATACATATGTAACAAGTAAATTAATAATTTTATTAATCTAAAAAATACAATTAAATAGAATGTTTTACTTAGAGGTAGGAGGTGCGAATCTAAAGAAATAAAGAAATAAGAAATGAATAAATAAAATAAATAGAATTGAATAAAATGCGTCATCAGATAAAAATTATCCAAATACATACACAATTCTTCTGGATTTTAAGGTTGTCCACCTAAATCGTTTCAACCAAATAGATAAACCAGTCAAAATTGACAAAATGAATATTGCTTTTACTCCCATTTTTTTACGGTCATCATGCTCAGGTTCTGCAGCCCAAGATAGAAATGTTGCTACATCTTTAGCCATTTGAGATGTAGTAGCAGGTGTACCTAAGAAGAAGAAAAATAATAATAATAACATAACAATATAAAAAAATATAAAAATAATAAAATAATAAATTTAATAATAAATTTAATAAATAAATATGAAAATAATAATATAATATATACCATCTTCATATTCTATTAAATCATCAAATAAAACTCGGGCCATAGAAATTGATCCACCAGGGAAATAAGGATTATAATTTAATCCTTCTCTAATCTCAACACCTGCTGGTGGATCCACGTACCCAGTTAAAAGTGAAAATATATAATCCTTAAAATATTTTTAAATATTTGAAAATTAATAATAAATAAAATTAATAAAATATTAAAATTAATAAATTAACAAATTAATAATATTAATAAATATTAAAAAAAATATATTAAAAATATTTAAATAATACTTACTATACCACCGTGACGGGCTTTGGTCATTAATGACAGGTCTGGAGGTAAAGCTCCCGCATTAGCTGCTCGAGCAGCTTCGTCATTTGGATATGGTCGTGGCATATAATCAGAAGGTCTTCCCGGTCTTTGAAAATATTCACCTTCTTCATCTGGGCCATCTTTATATTCAAATTCCTCTGCCATTTTTTTCACTTCTTCAATTGTATGTGAAACTCCCACCAAATTACGCCAAGCAATACGATCAAGAGAGTGACAAGTGGAACATACCTCTCTATAGACTTGATACCCACGGCGAATACTTTAAACATTATTTTTAGATATTTTAGATTATTATTTTTTTTTTTTCATTTTTCATTTTTTTTTAATAATAATATTTAATTTTGTTTTTGATTTTTTAATTTTTTTTTATAGATTATATTTCCTTTGGAGCTTTCTCACCTGGCATGATCAAAAGTACTGAAGATACCTCGGTGAGGCCAAGGATACATTGGTGCATGAAGGCCTTCATCGGCCATATTAGCATGAATTGGATTTGCTATAAAAAAATAACCAACACCTGCCGCGGCAGCAGCTGCTGCTGTTGCAGCAATAACCTTATTATTCTTCAAAATCTGTATTCACAATAAGTTGGTAAAGATCAAAGTTAAATATTTTTATTCATACCAATTGTCGAATTTTGTGCACATTATTTAATTGGTTATTTTCTATTATTACTTTATTTTTTTTTTCATTTTTTCAATAATTTTTCTATCTATTATTATTATTTTTTTTTTTGTAAATTGCAAATTAAAATATCTATCATTCGAAATATATAAAAATAAAATATATATATACTGTGATGTTTCCATTTCTTTTTTTTATATATTTTTTTATTAAATTAACGGATTTTTAACTACCTATCTCGAATTCTCAAACATGAAAGTGGACACTTTAGAAATACGAACCACCTTAGAATCACTAGCACTACCTGAAGCCTTTCGAAACTATTAAATTTAAATTCAATTCGAAAAAATTCGAAAAAAAAGAAAGAAATGATAATAATTTAATTATTTATTTAATTATTTAATTCAAATAAGAAAAAATAAATAGTTTGTTTCTAACCTGCGTGACGACTTTTACCCATTGTTTTAGGGGCTTCTTCGTAATAACCTGTCCTGATATTCTCGCAAACATGACTTACAAATTTTGAAATATATGCAAGTAGTGCAAGAGCTTTGTCAAATAATCTACAGCCACTTTAAACACAAGCGTATTTAAAGTCCTTTTTTCGTGTGTAACTTTTTGCATCTAATTAATCACGAGATCGTAAAAAAATTTTTGAGAATTATCTTTACCATATCCGGGTGAATATAATTTTTGATATCAAATTTTCATGTGACAAAATAGTTATCTTTTTGATGCACCACTTTTTTCACGTGTATCTGAATATATCAAAAAAATAAGTCTATCAAAAATGAACTGTTTGCAATTTTTATAGTTACTATCTTTATAAATCACGTGAATAAATTGTTTCATTGTCTCTTCGCGTAACATTCTTTGTTATTATAAAAAGATGCATATATGCTTTCAATTCAGTTAGAGCAGTATTACGCAATAAATTCTCGTAAAGATAAATGAGAAATTAATAGAATATGGTTAGTTCAGGATAAACAAACCTTAATATTGTCGTTGATCATAATATTAAACCGACCTCAACAATATTTGTTGACAGCTTGCATCATAAAAATTTCACAAAAAAACGTACAGTCCACGAAATTGTATTAAAAATTACTTCACCGTCTGTGAAAAGTTAGAGAATGTTAAAGTTAGAAATTACTTACAAATTGTAAGTTACAATATACATGTAGTCTACCAATTTTAATGAACTCACTCATTTTCGCTCCACACAATTCTAATTAAAGATAACCTTCAACATTTTTTATTTTGTCTCCAAAAAAAAATGTACATTCAGGTCTCATTGACCTTATATATATTTTCTGCCAGCATTACGATCTTCTTCGTCAAATTGCGATCTTCAGGCGAAGCAAATTGTACAAATTTTCATTAAAAAAATGAGTTCAAAGATTTTATGTGTTACTTATATACTTACAAATGTATGTTTATTTCTTTGTGCACTCCTGGAATAGACAACGTATTGATGGTGTAATGAACATTTTCGATACCTACCTCAGAAAGATTAAAAATCTGCTAGGTCATTGTCTCTTTCAAATGATGACACTCTTGAATGTAAAACGTAAGAAGATGAAGGAAATACATTTATCAAAATTATTCTTATCTATCTCTTCATGTCATTCATTCAAGTTTTTTTTATCTTTTAATCTACGATGAGTTTTTTTTTTTCCTACAAGAAGTTCCTTTATTCCTGCAGCTGAATTTTTTGGATCTGATCTGGCAAATAGACCCAAATTAAATCTTCTTCATTCATATTTAGGAAGGTTTGTTTGTGGAACAGTTGATAGAACATGTTCTGATAAATAAAAGTGATCTTTAAGTGAAACTGTTATGTTTCTCTATTTTTTCTACAAGATTTGTAAATATTAACATTGATTTTTTTGTTCGTACATAAATTTATTATTAAAAATGGTTGAAATAATACATCTATGGAAATATATTTTGAATAATATATGTAGGACTATTCCTATATAAAGCTGCTTTGAAACTCATTTAAATCAGATACCAAAGAATTCTAGCCAAGAATAAAATTTTGTAGTGATAAGGTTGTCGAAAATGCTCATTCTTGTAAATTCTGACATGACCTTCACAAAGAACCTCTTCACATATTTCCTTATCCACTTCAATAGTCAAACAACTTTTGAGAAATTGGGGTTTTTTTCTTAACATTTCAAACCCTAATATAGAGTATTTATTTTTGTCGAATCATCTGATCAAGAAAAAAAAATGAAATGAATGGATGAAGAATAAATAAAATCACTTATTTAGAAATGAAAATAATTTTACACTTTCATTATATTTACCCCGTACAGTTGTTCACGTAATATATCTTTCCACTTAACTACCTCTGCTTTCCATTCGTTTTTTTCACTCTTTAAATCCCTTAATTCCTTTTCCAACTTGTCTCTCTGCCTTAACCACTCTTTCTTCTGTTCGTCGTTATTCCATTTTTCTTCTTCCAACTTATCATCAAACTCTTCTATCCGCTTTCCTATTTCTCTTTAAACTTCCTTAATTTCCCTTCCGCCTCATCCAACCTATCTCGAGTCTTGTAATTCTCGTTCAATTTTCGATAATTACCATTTTTTTTGTGAAATTAAAAGTGTAAGGAATTTTCTATTTTGTATTATCATTGGGCGCACAAGATTATCAAAAAAATAAAAATAAAAAATTAGCGCAGTAATGCGGTAGGATTATGATAATTAATTAATTTAATTTAAATAAAATTTACTATTTTTTCTAAAAAAAAAGTTTGGAAGTCCGGAGAATCCATTATTGTAGTGTATGGCTATTCCTGCAAATCATAATGGTGATATTCCAAGTTTATTATTATTATTATTATTATTAAATATTAAATATTTTAGAATTCTCCGGAACCTGGATTTTAATGGCAACGATGACGACGACGACGACGAATGGGAAGAAAAAGGTACGTGAGCGATATTTTGTGGTTATTTGGTTATTTGGTTATTTGGTTATTTGGTTATTTGGTTATTTTGATGATCATATGTTGAAAGATGTTATGGCAGGTTTAATTGATTTGGAGATCGCTTATGTTAGCAAAAAGATATGACGGGTTTATTTGGTCATCATTTCTCTATAAAAATAATAAAACAATAAAAATAATATAAAAAATAATAAATAAAATCAATAAACAATCTCTCATTCCTAACGAGCATGTAAACTAAAGGTTGAAATATTTAAAATGAAATTTGCTAATTATATATATAATATTTATAATAATCTTTTTTATAAAATACAAATTTGAAATTCAAATCTGCAATCATAAAATTTATAATAAAAATTTAATTTGAAAATAAATAATTTTTTACATATTTAATACATAATTTAAAAATTGTAATCGCTTCGAAGGTAAATATCGCGAATTATTGATCCTTTTTTCGATGCATATTCATAAATTTTTCATACGGCTAATATTCGATTAAGACGAAGACGATTAGAAATAAAAAATAAACAATTAATACGATTAGAAATAAAAAATAGTAAACAATTAAGGCATTAGAAATAAAAAAAAAATTGAGTCCTCTTTTAAAAAAACAAAAAAAAAACAATAAATATTCTCTCTAAAAGTAAATATTTATTATTACTTTTATTATTTAATATTTTTTAATTAAAATACTAAAACTTTCTTTTCTTGATTTAAAAGAGGAGGGAATCCTGGAACAAAATATAAAGTGAATGTGACGAAAGGATCTCTCCAAAAGTGAATACTAGTTTATCTTTATTATTCTTTTATAAATTTCTTTTTTAGATCCAAAAGGTGAGAACCCATTGTGCAAAATAAAATAATACAAAAATCGAATAATGACATGTGATAAAAGCTGAGCTAAATCACTTATTCCAGATAGAAGATCCGTGTACAATAAAATTGAACCATTGTAACATTATGTTATATATATCTTGAACAAATAACAAAAAGTATTTTAACTATTGTATATATTTTTTTGATTCATTTACTAAATTCTGAATAAATGGTAAGCTTTGGGAACTCATCTTGTAAAAAATAAAAAAAAATTCATACATTCATAAAACATTTACAATACTGGAAAAATCAACAGAGAATGGATTGTGATTTACAAAAAAAAAAATATAAAATTCAAGTTTCAGAAAATAAGCATTTCAAAAATGTTTTTGGTACCAGAATTATTATGGTTAGTTGGTTGTTTGTGAACGAAACAAATACCTATAATTTTTTAAAAAAATAGGACTCTTTGTTGAGGAAGCACTTAAAAATATATTAATTTACTTCAAGTAAAAAAATGTTGAAAATTGCTCACTATTAAAAAAATATATATACATAAATTTACAACAAAGTCCAGAATTAAAGATACCTGTCGTAATTATTTACAGGAAGTTACAATTTCTTTAAATAATTATGACAGATATCTTTACACTACCCGATTATTTGTATTTTAGATTTTAGATATAGTTTATGTGGAAAAATTTAATGCCCAATGAAACTTTTAGCCAGTAAAAAATATCACAAGTTTTTATAAATTGAATGAAAGATCGGTCAATTGTGTAACGGATCAGTTTGTCCCTAGATTATATAAAGTCAAGTGATAAATAGAAAGATCACAGATGGATTCTATGATGTCTTTGACTATAAGTGTTCCCGAGTCTTCCATACCAAAAACCCCAGAATCATCGAATGAATCTTCGGAGCCTCTTGCGCCTTATGACTTCTCCAATGTCGTAGCCATATTCGTTACTCGATTTGATATCAAAAAAGGAAATATAATTGAATGGCAATATCCGGAAGGCAAGATTGAATATCTATAATGTAATATTTCGGTATTAGCGTGGTAATAATATGTATATTAATAAAAATAGATTTTGATCTTAGAGGAATCGAATTTCAATCGATGCCAAGCGGATTGCATGCAGTGAACAAGGATACAATGTATAAAAAAAAGTTTAAACATTTAAAAAAAGATTTTTATTCTCATTTTGACCATTTTTCTACGTGAATTATATGGTATTACAGATATTTTGTCAGACCTCCTTTTGTTGGAATAAGTGTATTTATTAATGAGCCTACCTTTGATGAATCTCAAGATAGAGGTGCTCATATGGTTTCGGTTGGAATTTTGGTGACACCTACTATGGAAACTGGTCTTTGTGGGAGACCTTGGAAACATCTTGAATTTTTACAAAATGAGATCAGGTGAGTATTGAATAATAATTAATCCCTTTATTGATTTTTATTTATCATACTTTTTATACTTTTTTTTTTTATATTTCTTAATATAGACATCTCGTCCATTCATCAAAAGACTATTCTAACCTTAAACAATATTTTGATAAACGTGGAATACTATTAAATCACACGGATGACGTATTAGTAGATATAGATAATGAAGATCGAAGATATAACTTTGCATCTTCGAGTGGTAAATCGCAATATACACGAACCCGATGTTTATCAACTTCTGAAACGAGTACTAATAGTTATCAATTATCTATTTCGGTAAGTCGACATTTGGTAATTCTCTTCATTATGTTATCTAATTTTTAAATATTAATTTCGATCAATATAAATAATATATTATTGAGCCCACTCATCCTGCTCATCATTTCCCGGAATTCGTTCATTTGTGTGGTCCTAATATTTTTTTACTTTGGAAAGCAGCTTTGCTTAAAAAGAGAATTTTATTTTATTCACCACCTCCAGTATTGAATGCCTGTTATGCTGGTAAATAATATTAATACCATTATTATTATTTTTTTTCATTATTATTTTGAATTCACATAAACATAATTCTTTTTTTACAGTTTATGGAACATGTCTTCTTGCCAATATTTCAACACAAATTGCTCGAACTATAGACAATAAAGTTGAAAAGATTAAACCTTTATTTAATGTTGGAATAAGCGATATCCCACTAATTGAGTCTATGGAAGGAGGGTATGTTGCATGTACGTATATTGAATATGTCGAATTTGTTAAATATTTTCGAATATTTTTAAAGTATAATTTATTTTATAATTATGTTATAAATTATTTTTTAAATAAAAAATCGTTACTTCTTCTTCTCTAGGTACAACGGATCAAATACTTCAGAGTAAAAATAATTTATATGATTTATTAGTTAATATGCCTCATGATGATATAAATAATAATACGCATCCAACTTTAATTGCTTCACCTGGATCAAAGTTGTCCACGAAAATAAGTGTGACTGATATTAGACGATATCGAGTTTTATTAAAGATTTTAGCATCCCATGGTTTAAATCATTATTCTGAAGAGGATGGTGAAAACATGACAGATACTTGGCGTAAACTAATGTTTGGTGGTTGGTTTTGGTGGTACGGAAGAGATGGATATCAAAGATTATATGATGATGATCATGATATCGAAGGTGAAGATAATGAAATCTTGTTAAGCAACCAAGATGATGAATCAAGTCTTTTAAATGTTGAAGGATCAAGAGAAACACTTGAAATTGAATTGGAACTGATAAGGTGTATATATATACACATATATATATATTTATATTTATATTATATTTATATTATATTTTATATAGCAATGAAATTTTTTTTTCTTTATATTTTATTTATTTATCTATCATTTTTCATAGATTTTTCCAAGCATTGACAACAAATTTATTTAATATGTTGAGAACGGTTACATCTAGCGTACATGATCATGATCCAGGAGAAACAATTTTTCTTTACCCTGATCATTTAATTCAACTTGGTTTAGATCCGCATGAAGATGGTACATTTGTTGAAGAGTTAGCAGAAATGTACTTTGGTAAGGAAGTCGAAGCAATAGGTAAAGGGAGTAGTTTCCTAATTCAATCGTTAAAGAATTTCCGTGCTTATTTAAATGAAATATGTTGCAATTGTTTCGGATTTTAATTTATCTATATATATATATATAGTTGTGAATTAATCTCTCAAATATTACATTATTTATATTATTCATTATATTATTTATTTTATTATTTATTTTAATGAAGGAGAGTGTCGGAAATATATAGTTTAAATCCATAGTAATAATATAATATTATTATTACGTGTAAAATTGATATAAACTAATAATTAGAAAACTTGTAAATTCATGAAATGTAAATTTTTTTTTGAAATCAGTAAAACGTTAAAATTATTATTTATTTTGCATTACTATTATTACTTTTACATTGGTTTGCTTGGTAATTGTGTCAACAAAATCTTAAATCGTTTTTTTAATGTTACTCGGTGACGAGAGTACTTATCGTCTGGTGAAAATCTAGCAGGATGCGCCGATTTGGTAATTTTCCCTTCAGAACTGGTTTTCTAAGGTAGAAAGCTTGATTTTAAAAATTATCTCCTTATTTTAAATACATTTTAAATACGTTTTTATATTACCTTGAGCGTGTAAACGCGATTACCAGCTTCGTCGGTATGGTACATTAGATACATTTTTCTTTTTTCGATTGACTCAGCATAGGGCTAGTTTGTTTTTATTGGCTTAAAATTTATATCATGTGATTATAAGGATTAAAATTTTTTTTTTTGCGCGATGATAAACGTATTTACAAACTCTTTACAAATAAACCATTCGTTTCTTTTGTTATGGCTGTAAAAAAAAACCATGATCCTTGTTCTGTTCATAATTGTAGTTACGAGCAAAATATGTATCGTCTTTTTACATCTCTAGCACATAATAAAGCTAAAAAAAGGGAACTTTTAAAACTTATCCATATCTAAAAATTGGACAACAACTTTATTATCCCCATTATTTGCACATAGTTGAACCCGACCGTAATAATAGTTCGAAAATATCAGGTATGTAAGATAATTAAATTATATATAAATATATATATTATTTTTTTATAGAGTCAAAAGAATTACACTTTTGTAGAGCAAGTTACTATGCTTACCAAAGCTCTATATAAATGTCGCGGAAATATTGAACTTGATCCAACCCATTTTCAACAAATGATTTTGGAAGTTGAACCACGATTGGAAGGTTTTTTTAATAAATTAATAAAGGCACTAATTCCTGATAGAAGATCAGAGAATAATAAAATTGAAGCACGAAAAAACGATTGTAACAGTATGTTATATAATGGCGGGATTACGGAATAAATTTGTCAACGATCTTAAGATGGAGATTGGATTGCATCTGGCGCAACACGCACTGCAATTGATACAACGAACAGCATTGGTATTTCTGCATGTTATACAACTGTGAACAATTTCAAACAAAAAATTGTTAATGAGCATCCTTTTAAAATTAAGGAGTTCTTTAAAGAGCATGTAATTAATATTTCAATTTTTAATTTTTTTTTTTTATTTATAAAATTAATTAATAATTAATTTTAATTGATAATTAGAATAACTATTTGTATATTTATAATTTGGATGATTATCATAACATACATAAGAAAAGACGACCTGATAATGTACATTTATCTACAGCAATATACATGGCTACTTTGCATTTGCAAACAAGTGCCTTTATGTGTATCAATACCAATTATATTTAATGACATATCAATACACAATCCAGTCAATATTGATGCTAACAATATTTGTTTTTGCTTAATACACAATTATCATGGAATTTTTGATATTGCATATACCAACCGAAAAATGCATTGGCTTTCAAATAGAAAATCAAATATTGAAAATTTTGATCAAATAGATTTACTTATAATTCATAGTTATGATGATGCAATAGTAGAAAGAAAAGAAGAGTGATCAATGAAAGGAGTAAGATTAATTGGACTTCAGGAAAAAAATTTATACTTAATGAATAATTATATAATGGCACTACAAATGATATTGGATATTAACAATGATATTGGACATCTGTATAATAAAGTTGCTCCATTGGTTGCTGATTGGCCAGGACAGTTATTTGTTAGAAAAGCAATAACTAACTTACATAAGTCAAATTCACAATACTCTATATCCAATGAAATTAACTCTTTTATTCCAATTTTGAAACCATTACATGCTTCACTTAACAGTAGGAAACATATTATATTAATTTATCATTCATTTTTTGAAAAACTTTTTCATTCTGTATTTGAACAAACAAAAATATTAGCAAAAAAACCAAAACCATGGAGAATTAATTTGCTTCTTGATCTGGCATATAATGGATGGAATAAAATTCAAAATATAATTTTAACAAAGTTCAGAATAAATAAAGACATTAAATATAGAATGGTAATAGATTTGTTGGATAATATAATCCTAGCAACATTAGATATCTATGCCATGCTTTTTAGATCTGGTTCATTTGAAGAATATATAGAAACTATTTTTAGAATTTGGACATTTGCTCTTTGTTGGAAGTGGCATAATTATAATAAAGTACCATTGGCTTTTCTTTCAGATATTTTTTATTAGCAAGACATCAATCACTTTTTTGCAGAAGTTATAAAATTATTTCTAGTAAATTTTAATGACTATTATGTTAAAAACATGCATAGCAAAATTAGAACACACATCACCAAACAATAATGTAAATAATATCATAAAACAAGCTTATATAATAGGTAAAATTTTAATTATTAATCTGTATTATAATTAATAAATTTAACTTTATTATAATTTTTATATTTATAGATACACGAAATCATTATGAATTTAAAGATATTTTTGAAAAGAAAAAAATTATCCTTATACACAATCATCATTAAATTCACTTACAGAATAAATGGCATTATTTTTGTTAAATTATTTTCAAAAAATTTTTAAAAATTGTAAAAAAAAGTAAGATAAATAAAAAAAAAGAAAAAAATAGAATGTATATTAATTACATTAGGAGAAACAGTACCTTCCAACAGGTTACAGTACAAGTGTATCACCATCACCAGAAGAGTGTGATATTTGTCATAAAAAACTTGATAATGGAAAGATGTTAATATATGGACATGGGTATAATTTTAATATTATCAAAAAATTGAATATAGATGTTAATATTGTGAGGAATATTATAAACGGTGAATTTATAATAATGTGAAATCTTTTTTGAATTGTCTAGAAAAAGGTTTTAACACTTTAACTTCAAAAGAAATAAGTGAATATGAAACTTCTGTAGATAATAAGATAATAGTAAATGATGAAACAAATAATAATCAAGAAATACATATAAATTTTATTATGGCACTTGATAATATTAACACTTGATAATAGTCAAATTTCAATGAACTGAAATTAAAAACTTAATAGAAGTTATATAAACATTAATTAATATATTTTAAAGTTAAAATTCAATTAAATAATATTAAAAAATACTCATATTATTAACTTGAGATCTATAGAGATCTGAAATTCAAACTTTTCTAAAAGAATAATTCAGGTACATTTGAATTTTTTAATTGGATATTATTGTAACATAGGAATAGTTTGTTTTTATTGACTGGTGATTTATACTGTTGATCAATAGTAGTCAATATATCTGATTAGTTAAATAATAAATTTTTTTTAACAAAAATTTTATAATACACCAGTGATATTATGTACCATATCATATGAAATACATCTGTAACACAGTCACTTGACAAGTCTGACATTGTAGAATGTGATTGGATCAATTATCATTACAACTACATGTTTTTTATTTTGTTTAAAAAATAAATACACAGTGAAATGATTAACATATCACACTTGAATTGTGTCATATATAATATAACAGCTCTTTCTTCACATTTCCATGCCATCTCTTCCTCGCATTTTCACGCTATCTCTTCTTCTTCAACTTCTTCTTCCTCTCCAGTTCCCAGTCTTCAGGAATATTATTATGAGAAAAATTAGGATGACTCTATTGAAGTGCCATTAGAAACATGTAAAATATCAATAGAACCATTTGACCTTAAGAATATTCATCTAACTAAAAATATAAAAGACAGCGAGCTTTTTGATGATAAAGATAGTCCACTTTATCCAGTGGTACCAGAGATGTCTTTCGATAATTGAACAAATTTTGATAAGTATATAATATTCAAATACTCTCTTCAAGAATAGGTTGTTGAAAAAGAACTAATTTTTTTTCACTTGTTTTTTCACTTTAAGTTAGTTTAAAAATTATGAGTTGAAGTAAGGTTTTACCTTTACAATTACCCATAGCGAAAAAGATAAAAATGACAGAATACCATAACAATGCATTTATGTATGCACAAAAGAATGGAAATATACATCAAAAAAAGATGCATACAAAGAAAACTGTAACACAGGACATAATAGTGTTGACTGCAAATTTCGTGTTAACGTTTACTGCTGAAAAAATGATAATCTAGTTTACATCATGAAAGTTGAAAATTAGCATAATCACAAACTTGTTGAAAATATTTCTTCTCTCGTGCCTTGTTATTAAAAACTTATTCCAGAAATGCAAAATGATGTGTAACTACTTGTAGTATGTGGTACATGCTCTGGTGCAATTATTGAAGTTTTGTAATATAAATATTCAGTAAGATATATTCATCACCGTAATGTTTATAACTTAATTAATTCTATTTGCCACAAACGAGGTCATGTCAAAAGTGATGCTGGTTTCATATATCTTAATCTCATGAAACAACAGCAGGAAAATTCAAGTTTTCATGTTGATGCTCAGTTCGAAAGTCAAGATAATCATCTTATTAGACTTTACTAGATGTGCCTGAATCAACAAGAATTATAGGCTCGTTTTCACGACATAATACTTCTCGATACAACTGTCAAAACAAACTGACATTTGACGATTTTAACTATTATTATTTTAGTAAACAATCACAATCGCTCTTGTCTTATAGCAATGGTCATTCTTTCAGATAAAGCAAAGGATAATTTTGAATGGTTATTTCAAAGCCTTCTCAAGGCAATGGGTAAATTAATATCATATTTGTTTACACAGATACAGATCCTATAATGATCGTCACAGTAAATAATTTTTAACAATCAATTTTTGAAGAGAGATGGGTAGCATTATTAAATGAATATTCTGATGTCATCAGTTATCTCCAGTGTCAGCTTTATAAATATCAGGAGACTTGGGTACTGTGCTTTATACACCATACATTCAATGCAGAAATACAAAACACATAATGTGTTGAGTCGTATAATGGCATTATTAAGAATCATGTGAACAAAACTATATCTTTAATGGAACTCGAATTTGTAA